GATACCTTGACTTAACTCCATCAACGAACAATATCTGTGTATTCCAGGCCTTTGGGAAAGACTCAATAAAATGCTAGACTGACTCTGGCTGACTTTGTGGCCAACCATAATAATAATTGCTGCTATGTGGAAAACTAGTATCTTTTTTTTTATAGTCTGCATCACCGGAAACAAAACCGATTATGGTTTTATATTAGATGTTGGCAATGTTCCATTGATAAATAATGACTGAATTCACACATCATGTTAACAATATAGTTTGGTGTGAGATTATTGTCATGTGTGAACTCATTCACCAGGAATTCAGAACACAGCTGATCATCTAACAAGATATGTGAACCTTTAGTATTGAATTTGCTTCTGTAAAACATATTTAAAGAAGCTAATATGTGCAAACCTACCCTAAAGCCAATCATGATTATAATTTGCAAGAACTACCATTCGCTCATCTCTATGATGATCTTATGATTGCTGTTTTTCTCTTACATTTTAAAGAAAGTATCATCAAGTACAGTTAACAAAACTTTCCTCATTCAGAGGATAGTTCTAATCCCTTGAGGTTTTTGACTTGGAAAATCTAATCCTTTTTAGATGAAGGCATGCATTTGTGAAACAATATAAAGATAATTAGATTTTAATAATATGCTTGTTTTGTTCCAGGATCTAGTTCAGGATTCAAATGGAAAGGTCCCAAATTAAATGTAACAGGAGCGCACCAAGTCATACAAGAAGGGGACACTTTAAACATCTTGTGCAGGTAATTAGCTTGGCTGAACCGACCTTTGCATTTGTCCCTTGGCTGCCATAATCTTAAATCTGGATGCAGGGTAACTTTAGGCTAAGCCTAAGTAGACATTGGTTGAGTCACCAAAGTTTAAGGGGTGCTGACACTGCTCCTGCTTCCAAATCATTCCAAACATGCAAATCTTGGTATCAGTGGGAAGTGATGTCCTCACTCAGTGTGGCATAGAGGTATCATGTACCCATGATCTGGCACAGCTTGAGTGGAAGAGAGACCCTTCATTGGAAAGGCTCTTTGCTTTTGTGTTATTTTGCAGAATGTAATGGGGAAGACCCCAAATAGCTAATAGTAATAAAAATGAAAGCCATGAAATTAATTCTAATTTCATCTTTTTCTTAATCTGGATTTGCAGTGGAGATGTGCCCCATTCTTGGTTTCTGCCTGAAACTCTAAGTAGGAATGACAACCGGTTGAATATAATGACTTATGCTTGTGGAAGGCACAACAAGCAGTTCTGCAGTAGCCTGACTTTGAACAGAGCTCAAGCAACTGACACAGGATATTACAGCTGCAAATATCCATCCTCAAGTGAAGTAAAAAAGAAGACCGTATCTAAAATATATGTATTTGTTAATGGTAAGATCTTATTTATTTTTATAATGAATTTTACAGATTGCTGCAGTTCCACAACAGCTAAGGGGAAAATACATACAGTGGTACCTTGGTACTCGACTACTTCAAAACTCATCAAATTTTGTATTCAATCCATTTTGATGCAAAAATGTTGTCCTGGTACTCATTGTTTCTTTAATACTCCATGCCCTGCGATACGAAAATGAGGGTGGCTACGGACAGAAAGTCGCCCATGCCAGAAAGGTCACTGCAAAAGGTTTGTCAAAGTAGGGGATGGCCACAGAGGACAGATAGGAAGTCAGTCATGCTGGGAAGGTCACTGGCAAAGGAAAGGAACAGACAGGAAGTCCTTCCAGGTGAAAAAAAGGGTCATGTGGTAAGTCACATGGCTTGTTTAACACTTGTCATTTTAAGTACTTGTACTTCTTGGAACCCATTAACAACAAATTCCGAGGTACCACTGTAGTTATACATGAATTGCAACCCATTTGCTATAACATCAGAGAAACTAGCTGAAGATGTTGACTCACTCTGTGCTTGGACACTTAGGGCCTGATATGGTGTAGAATGTAGAAGATCTTCAACTGGATTTCCTAACCACTTTTGTTTCCATGATTCCAAAGTAACTTGTGAATGTATGATTAAACATACACTTGACAGCTAAATAGACTTTGCAAGGGAAAGATACAATGAGATACCCCACACTTCCAAACTGAACTTGGACAATGGTATCAAAACAATTCCCTGTCCTTTGTTTTAAAATAAAATCCTCTCCATACAGCCACAAATTCTAAACGGTCAGTGCAGTACTTGATGCACTTGATGTCTGTTATCTAGCTACAGTAGGTCATTATGTGGGTGTGAAGCTTTGTTTGCACTAAAACTCTCTGAGAATAAGAATTAAACTAGGTGAGCTACCAATACTGCAGTGACAAAATTAGTGATTATTGGGCGGGGGGGGCTTCTTTGAATTTTGGAAGCAGTTTAATAGGTTTTTAAAAAAGAAGTTAGTTAAACCTATTGGAAATTTTGTTATGAAGAAAAAGAAGAAAAATATTCTGTTGAAACTTGATAATGTACTACTTGTTTTAGGAGCATATTCTTCTGTGTATAAAGGTGGCAAATATTAAGCCAGGACAATTGTGTTAAACCTGCAGACATTCTGTCCCTTGGTTAAATCTTTTGTCTCAATAGTTTAACTTCTCAACCCAATTTGGCTCTCTTTAGAAATTTTAATAAAGATTGGGAGGGGGTCACATACCTCTTGCAGTAGACATACTATTGTGGTGTTGGATCAAAATGCAATATTAAACATACCTCTTGCAGTAGACATACTATTGTGGTGTTGGATCAAAATGCAATATTAAAATTATTCATTAGCCTTATCTGAAAGGAAGCAGACCTGAAGTGTTTAAAGGTATGATTAAAGTATTATTTAAACCATGTCCACAGTATGAAATACACCTACTGGTAATGTTCTTGCTAGGATAATCCTGTACATATATCTCAACCAAAAGGTGTGAAATACCAAATCATTGCCAACAGAAAAAACACCGGAATGTCATGAAGCAATATTACGGATGTTTAGGAAATTAATGTTTTATTTAGGTTGTTGATACTTGACTCACATCCATTAATCAACTCTACTCTAAAGTCAATATTGATAATCTTGACCATGTGACTTTTCCATTGTCATCAAAGCAAAGTAAAAGATACAGTGTTTACAAGATGCACAAAATTGTTACAAATACTTTTCTCCATTGGTCTTAATTGATACAGTGATTACCAAATATTATTGACAATATTATACAGATATTATAAATGATTTTGTATTCCAAAAAGTATAAAACTTTGCGTTATTTATATTTGAAACATCTCCTGGTATAAAGTCCCCATGTGTGCAATACATATTTTGCTAATTTGAATAATTGTTAACATTAAATTCTTCCAGATTTATTTTTTAATTCATCTGAACCTGTTTTATTCCTTTGATGCATAAATGTCCCATATACAACTTTTTAAAAAATGTAACTTCCTTCAGTCTATGCTCATTAGTAAATTTAATTGCTCTGTTTATATATGGACAGTTGTATCTTTTATAAGATATGAAGGTCTATTTGTTTTTTGAGAAATTGGACTGAAAAAAAGAGAAATCTTTGATACTAACATTCACACTGTCACTAATCTGATGGGGGGGTGGAATGCTTAAACCCCACCCTTACAAATTCACACTTACAATTTTCCATGCATTGGAGGTGTGTGGAATTCTGTCAATTGATCCTAGTGAAAGTTTTGCCTCTCAGAAGCAATCAAACTGGTTCAATTTAGTGATGTTCTAACCTGGAGCATATCTCCCCACTCAACCAATCTATTGTTGTTGTGTTGAAGTCTGATGGTCTGAGCAAAGCGATACAGAACTTACTATGAGTTGAAGTCTACTAGCTTCAAATTGATGAGGCTGAGAAACACTGATCCAGAGAGTTTCCACGGATGTAATGCATTGGGATACGGTTGTCCCCAGTGCCTTAACCACTATACCACCTGTCCCTCCTTGCATTGCTTAGTAAAGTGCTCCAAAGGAACATTTTACTCTGTTGCAATGAAGCAGCCTTTAAAGATCGGTGCACTTCTAGTTTTCAACTCCATGACTGATCAATGCTATTTTGCAACTTCTAAAAACGTCAAGTTTCTACCTTATCCTCAGGGTGTTGAGAATTTGTTTAAATTTTCTCTTGAGGACATTTTGCAATTTCATGGTGGAGATGAGGGTGTTTTTCTGTTACACCTTTTCCTGTCACTCTAAAGTAGGGGTCTCCAACCTTGGCCACTTTAAGCCTGGAGGACTTCAACTCCCAGAATTCTGGGAGTTGAAGTCCTCCAATCTTAGAGTAGTCAAGGTTGGAGACCCCTACTCTAAAGCCCTCCTGCTCACTTCACTGGCTAATTGAAAAAGGCCAGTTCCCTCATGTTAGCTTCCACTGAGATTTAATTAAAGCGTGAGAAGGCCGAAAGCTTCTGGAGAAATGACTGTACAGTGAAAACAGGACATTCACAGACATGTCTTGATTACGTCATAATTGTTGGAAAATTATTGTAATTTCCAGTTTGTGTCGAGCTCACTCCAAGGCAATCTCTACCTCTAGATCAGTATAAGTGCATACATGCCAGGCTACAAGGAATTAATTAAGGACGTGAAAGAGATTTTAATAATCATGTTATACTATTATTGCATTATAATATGTACATTTAATATTGTAATATTAAGATAATTGTTATGGCTTTAGTCATTCCCAAAACCCTTATCCTGAGATACCAAACCTATAAATCTTGGTTCTATCAATGTTAACATTTTATCTGTCATCAATTTTCTACCAAATATTTTGGAGTCTAGTTTCATAAGGCAAAGTACTAGAAAATTTTTGGAAAATCACAGTGGAAGATTTTCTGGTTAGTTTTATTTAGCCCACTCCCAGGCAGTCCCTATACTCAGATTAGAGCACATATACATGACACTCCATTCAGCTGGCAAAAAACAACAACTTTTTCTGCGGGGCAGTCCCAACTGAGGTTTATGGGAGTTGCAGTTTAAAATATTGAAAGGAAAAATACATAAATCAAACCTTTTCTTAGATAGTAGGTGCATCTGAAACTTCATAGAATACCTAAGTCAAAAGCAGAGTTGCTTCAAATTCTCTGAAGCTAAATTTCTGATATGGATCATGTGACAGAATTCTTTGTAAGTAAATAACATGCTTTAAACTGACATGTAAATGAGTAAAAACGATTAATTATAAGAACAATAGAGTACAAAAACAAAACCCTATCTGAAAACTGAAATTCTCCATGAATGGTCAGCAGTGATGGGATTCAAATTGTTTAACTACCGGTTCTGTGGGCATCGCTTGGTGGGCGTGGCAGGGGAAGGCTATTGTAAAATCTCCAGTCAGAGGTGGTATTTGCTGGTTCTCCAAACTACTCAAAATTCCTGCTACCGGTTCTCTAGAACTTGTCAGAACCTGCTGAATACCACCTCTGATGGTCAGTGATAGTTACAGTAAGTCCAGTTCTGAGATCATTTCAGTCCTAAGCAATTTATGTTTATGTAACATGGATTTGATGCAGAAAGAGTCCCAGGGAAGTCTGTGGGTTTATTTGAGAAAGAATGGCTCAAAATACTCTGAAATTGAATGTGTACTAACTGATGCTTTTTTGCCTTGATATAAAGTTTGCTTCAGATGGAAATGGGATGGGTGAAAGTTTTCAAGTCCTGGGATTTACTTTCTTACATTTCAGCTTGTAACATGAACATTTTTATATGGTCACTTTCTGAAAAAGACATAGAGGCATAGAAATTCTCTATATTCATTTGCTTGATATTGATTGTAGCATAAATATGTTGATTTTTATATTCAGAATAATATATAAATCTTTTAATGGTAGAAAATGTTTAAATGCCACCATAGGAAGTTCTTTTTTTCTATCTATGTGATAGAGAAAAGGATACAATTTTCCCCAAATGGATCAACTTTGCATTTTATTATCATTTTCAGTATATAACCGAATAAAGAAAATTATGCCAGGCTTTGTTTACAGTATCAGCTGTCATATAATTAGATCAGCCCATAGTAAGTGAAAAAAAATTATAGGAATAGACAAAAAGAGCCATCAAGAATACTAGAATTATTATTTCCTGGAAGAATAGCTATTTAAAATTAAGATTGCAACTAAGCTTGGATTGTTTCCTATGGTGGCGATTTGTATAGCTTTTCCAGCATTTTGGCAGGTTGCAGTATTTAGAAATGCAGAATAAATGTTTACAAATGCAGAAACAGGATCTGGCAGGAGAGGAAGAATGTTTCCCTTGACTTAAACAATTAACACTTCCTGTAGACTGATCAATAGAGACAATGAACCAAATAAAAACAGAGAAGATTTATTAAAAAAATCTGTCCATTAAGAAGGATAATCTAATTCAAAAGAGTTACTAGTGAATAAATATACTCCTGAATGTTTTGAACTTACAGCTGTAGCTGTAGCCAAATTCATGCATCACAGTAAGCTGGAATGTGGTTTTTGGCTCAACATGTTTTTGTGATGTGAGCCATTGCAATTTGAAAATTATAGTTCATGATTTACTATTGTGTCCAGACCAAATGCCAGCTTTGAAGCCTCCTGAACTACCTGTAGTTGCATCACCAAATTTTAGCAGAGAAGTTGCCAAACATAAATGGGAAATACACAGTAACTTTATTGAAAGTCCTAAAATTGGTTTAACATTTTTTTTAGAGAAAAACAAAAACAAGAATGAAAAAAATATTGGACAATACTTTGGCCACTGATAGGTTTCCGCCTCTCAGAAGATTTTTTTGAAACCTCCTGAGGAAATCTTGAGTGAATTATATCCCTCAAGACAGTGATGGGATTCAAAAAATTTTTATACCAGTTCTGTGGGCGTGGCTTGGTGGGCGTGGCAGGGGAAGGATAAACTGCAAAATCTCCATTCCCACCCCACCCCACTAACCTGCTTTCTAGCTCCGTTCTCCTGTGCAGGGCAACCAAAGAAGACGCAGCCAATCAGCTGGGACTCGGGAGGCAGAGAATAGAAGGGGGTGGGGCCAGTTAGAGGTGGTATTCGTCGGTTCTCCGAACTACTCAAAATTTCCACTACTGGTTCTCCAGAACTGGTCAGAACCTGTGAATACCACCTCTGCCTCAAGATCCCTAAAGATTTGTCCTTATCTTATGTTTGTTAGATTATTTGGATAACATTGAGACATTCACATAAAATGTCTGAAAAATAGATCTTTGCATTTAAAAGCATATTTTTGATTCTAAAGAGAAGGGAACCATACTGTGGAAGGTATATATTTGTTAGTATTCTTCTCAGAAAAGGCAAGGCTGTTTTGTAATCTATGGCTGTTCCCTCTGGTTGAAACTAGACCATGGACATAATTCTTAGAATGAATTTTTTTTTTTTTTTTGGTATCCTGCATCTCTTTCCTGTCATTTCTTCAGAAGATGACAGTGACCCCCACTAGTATACTATGGGCAGCAACAACTGGTGACATGAAGTCTAGAGACTTGAGGCAGCTCTTCCTTGTACTTAAAATGGCCTGCAGGTTATACATACAGGAAACTGCTTTGCAACATTTGCTGTTTTTGGAAAATAGCTTTTAATTTCGTGACAAGGATAAATGAGCCTTAAGGGAGTAGGAACGAGCAACATTTCACTGGAGGTACAACATCTTGGTTGACCCGTTTTTATAATGGTAACTCCTGCAAAACAAAGCAGAATAGAAGAGCTGTTTTTTTTTAAAAAAAAATGTCTTTTCCTTGGATGATATTAAAAAAGGAAACGTTAGGTTGTTTTGATACTTAGGGTCCCCCCCTCCTTTCTCTCCTCCTCATAGTGAAATATTTTTCAATTCAAATGTATTTTTGAAACACTATATTTGACTTGCTTGAAGTCTTTCCACATTTTTTTGATGAATAAATTCAAGATGAATACATCAATAACAGTGGTGGGATTCAAATTTTTTTTTACTACCATTCTGTGGGTGTGGCGTGGTGGGTGTGGCAGTGGCTTGGTGGGCGTGGTAGGGAAAGGATACTGCAAAATCCCCATTCCCTTCCCACTCCACTAACCTGCTTTCCAGCTCTGTTCTCCTGTGCAGGGCAACAAAAGAAGAACCAGCCAATCAGCTGGGACTCGGGAGGCAGAGAATAGATGGGGGTGGGGCCAGTTAGAGGTGATATTTGCCAGTTCTCCAAACTACTCAAAATTTCCACTACCGGTTCTCAAGAACTGGTCAGAACCTGCTGAATACCACCTCTAATCAATAAACTAGGAAAGGGTTTGCATTGCTAATAAAAACCTTTCTCCACTACTTTTGGTGACTAATGCATGTAACTGAGATAAATCACTATATGACAAGGCTTTCAAACTCCTGGCCCACAGGTTGGATGTGTCATGTGCTGGCCACAGCCACGCTCGGTTTAGCAAAGGAGAAAATAGTCCCGATACATCACATGACAACAATGTGATGCCGTGAGTTTGACACCCCTGCTATATGGCATAACTAAATGGGGAATGTAATTTATCAGGTAATGGCTTTGTTGGCATTTTTTTATGTCATTTATTGTGACTTTCTTCTCTTATTGCAGACACACAAAACCCATTTATCAAGCTGCATACAAATATACCAGAAATGATACGTACGACTGATGGAGAGGAGCTAATCATTCCCTGCAGAGTTACAGCACCTGATATCCATGTTAAATTAAGAATGGTAGACTTTTTTATTGCTTGCTATATGCATTGCTCATTATTTATTTAATTAAAATGGCTTGATTCAGATAAATGCAATTAATAGATCAACCTTTGTTGAATGTGCTAGTATTCAGTTTAGATAAAGTCATTGGCATGTTTCATCTTATGAGTGAGTGCTCAGAGTGGGTGGGAATTTTCGAAAAAGGCACCATGACAGCGTTATAATGATAAAAAACATTTGTGCTTAAGAGACTAGTTATTTATTTATTGCTATAAAGAGGAAGTAATACCTGAGACAGAACTATGGAACACTTGCTTAGTCTTTATCACAGTCTCTAAAGACTATTGCTGGTTTCATGAAGAACGTAATAGCACTACAACTGTGTGTCACAAGTTCTGGTCCTTTTGTGGGGGGTGCATTGTCACAAGGCATGTAGAAAAGGGGGGGGTGGTCTTGCATAATACAGTAACTTGGTTTGCATAATTGAAACACACACAAACCCTGTGTGTTAACTAGTTTGGGTACAAATCATGTGTTCTAAATCTGTCTTTTGATGGTATTTTATATTTCTCCCTGATTGCCATTGGAGTGCCTTCCATCTCGCCACCTGTCTTGTCTTGCATGACATCTGGTGAAAAACTTTATTCATTCTACATATTGTTTCCAGAGTCATATACCAATGGTACATCATTTTATAAAATTTCTCTTTGAAATTGTAACATAGGGTGAATTTCAATTTTTTTCAACCACGTTTTCCCACTATTATATTCCAACAATATGTTATAATTGAAGTTCTTAGATCATTTTATCTATTTCAAATTTTAGCAACAGTTTGTACATTTTAGCAATTTCATGTTCATTATTTGTACATAATTCAACATGAAATTCTATCTTTTGCTGTTCAGTTCCAAATGTACGATTGTCTACTTTAAATCTTTCTCTTAACTGCATACGAAAATCATGAAAACTAAATTCTTGTTCAGCCACTTGCGGTCATGGTTTCAGTTACGTTTCCAGCAAAGGCATTACAAAATAAAGACTTACTCTTTTATTCCTTTGCTTTTGTAAGTTATGCATAAACTTACTTAATGGCGGACAGAATCTCCTGAATCAATGGGCATACAGCTTATTGTCAAAAGCTACATATACAATGATAAATCAGTTCAAAGAACAAAAGAGGCATGTTTCTATTTGGCAGCAGGAACTACAATATAATCTCCAGCATTCAAGCTACTCCAGAATCTCAGCCAGCAGGTTATAAAATAACAGGCAATGTGTGTATTGTAAGGCACACTCCTCCCATTATTTCAATAGTTATTATGCCTTCCTAGCAGATTCTGCAAAGATAAAGGAGTATATGCTACTGTGATATGAGCTGTGACTGCTGTTCATTCTGTTAAAACATATCACTGTCTAAGCAAATGGCAGAAAGTGAAGGGAGGGGGCCTTCCTGTGCAGTCCAGTCCCGGTAATCCATGATAATAGAATACAGACAGAAGGCAGGCTAATAGTTTGAAGCATCTGTCAGTCTGTGAAGGAGACGTGAGGAGAGTTGGGCTGAGAGAAAGGGACCGGCGCAAAGTCTTCCAGCTGGTTTTCATGCCTTGGGTGGTTTCTACCAGCACCTTAATCACTAGATCAAAGTTTATTCTAAAGAGCAAAAGTTTCATTCTAAAGGGCAGTGATACCTCAGCTAATGTGACCAACTGCTAATCTTGTCAACAAACAAACAAACAAACAAACTACCCCCCACCAAGGGTTAGGAATTTCTCAATGGAGTTCCGTATCTTAAAGTCACCCAAAATGATCATTTGTATATGTTCCTACAGTATGTGGGGGGGGGGGTGGTTCATGGCCCCATAAGTGTGATGTTGCATGGTAATACAGTACTTGATGCCAGAATCCTTAACTCGGTTTTGCATTTTGCTGAAAAAGTGTTCCTCTTTCAGACAAACTACATTTTATCCTGCTCAGACCTTTAGAATTGGAAATAACTGATATTGCAGTTATGTTGTGATAATGTTTTAAACAATGCTGGACAAAGGGATTTTCCTGGTATAGTTTCCCCCCCCCCCCCCAAAATCAGTTTTTCTTTCAGTTTAATGGAAGAGAATTTACTTTCAAAATATATTTCAAAAGCAGCCTGAATTGTGAAGAAACCTACTGGGATGTCTACAGAGATTCTCAGTCATCCACATCACGGTTGTCCCAAAGGGGCTTTTTCAAAAGGCAACTGTACTTTCTTTGTTTTTCCTTGAAGTAGTTTCACTTCTCATCCAAGAAGCTTCTTCAGTTCTGATTGAATTGTGAGAAATTGGAAGGATTTATATTCCTTGCAGTTATCTGGTTGCTAGCACTCTTTCGGAGAGTCGTTGAGGCCACTTGGAGGTTTATCTGTGATGGTTCCATACCAGTGGTGGGATTCAATTTTTTTTTACTACCGGTTCTGTGGGCGTGGCTTGGTGGGCGTGGTTTGGTGGGTGTGGCTTGGTGGGCATGGCAGGGGAAGGATTCTGTAAAATCTCCAGTCAGAGATGGGATTTGCCGGTTCTCCGAACTACTCAAAATTTCTGCTACCGGTTCTCCAGAACTGGTCAGACCCTGCTGAATACCACCTCTGTTCCACATCCATTTGCACTATTCAGGTGAAACCTGAGGGCACAGATAAAAGTCTAAGTAGCCTCAATGATTCTCCAAAAGAGTGCTAATGATCAGATGACTGCAAGAAATATAAATCCTTCCCCCACCATTCAATCAGAACTGAAGAAGCTTCTTGGATGAGAAGTGAAACTACTTCAAGGAAAAACAAGAAAGTCCCATTGCCTTCTGAAAAAGCATGTTTGGGAAAACCAATGGGATGGAGTAGTACTCTTGTACTTATTTAACAATAATGCACAGAAGCAAAGAGGAAGAAGACTGTGTCAAGGACAAGGATTAGTAACCCCTTCTAGAAAGCATGCATCTCAGGGTCGGAAAAACAAAATTGTGTGTGGACATGCAGTGTTAGTTCAGGATGGATTCATGTGTTCATTACACCATCCCTCCAGACTCCCTAGCTTCCTACGCATTTCCACAGCAAGATGAAATACCTCTCTTTTTCAGTAGCTATGCTACTATCACAACTATGGGGGAGTTTTGCTTTTGAGAAATTGTTGGAGATAATTTTTCTCACAATTGCTTTGAACACATTTTTGGTGGAAAAGGTGGACCAGCTATAATTTTAAAGGTCAATAATTAAAAGGGGTGCTGGCAGTTTTTGTCATTGAGTTCTCTAAACAGATGGGCTGAATTTCAAATGTATCTAATGCTGCATTCATAGATTGTGGTTTGTATGTGGAACAATATGTATGGCATATCTATATCTATATCTATCTATCTATACACATACACACATACATATATATACACATACACACACATGAGTTTGATCATCATGAATGTGAGCGTATGATAGAAGATGCAGATTTCATTTTGTTTTGTAGCTTTGGAACATTTAGAAACCAACAGAGATGGAAAAACAACAACAAGAAAAAAATGCAGTGTATGACTTTTGGAATTATTTCTAGCCCCTTTACATTTTCTTCTGTGTGATAGAATAAAGTGTTGCATACACTTTATTCCTTGTTTCCCTGCTTTCTTCTCATGTTGCAAGATCAGGGCAACCTGAATATTATCTACTCTGAGTCAGCAGATCATGAGGAGAAGATTTAGAACAGTGTTTCTCAACCTTATCAACTCTAAGATGGGTGCACTTCAATTCCCAGAATTCTCCAACCAGCAAGTTGGCTGAGGAATTCTGGGAGTTAGTCTGCACATCTTTCAAGTTGCTAAAGTTGAGAAACATTGGTTTAAAATGAAACAACCTGTAGTACTGCAAGATGCTGTCCAGCTACCTCTCCTAGAACATTGTACTGGGGGTCTAGAAAGGATCTTTCTCTTTACAACTGTTGATCTTTGTTTTGCCAGCTTGTCTCCAATGTTGAATGTGATCCTGTTTTGTTCAGTTTTCAGAGATTATTCATGTTGATAGACTAATACACAGATGGTAGAGTCTTGACCCCTTTACATAAGTTGTTTCTTCCGTTTGTTAGGAAAGAATAAAAAACAAAATTGCAGACATATTTGTGGTGTTGTCCCATCATTAACCCTCATTGCCTCTCCCTTCCCACAGGGTCATTAAGTGAAGCCCTTGACCACTAAAATATGTCCTGCTGCTATATTTTATTTTATTTATTGCCAACTGTTTATAATCTAATTGTAGTCCTCACTGGGTTTTTCCAGTGGGCTCTAACATTACAGATGTGGCTACTATGCACCCCACTTAGAAATTTGCCCTTCAAATGAAAAAAAAACATTTTTGGCCCAAACACCCATGTTTGTTTGTTTGTTTTTTCTTTCTTGGAAAGGTCTGCCATTGCATTAAGAACAGAGGTGGTATTCAGCAGGTTCTAACCAGTTCTGGAGAACTGGTAGTGGAAATTTTGAATAGTTTGGAGAACTGGCAAATACCACCTTTGACTGGAGGTTTTACAGTATCCTTTCCTTTATCGCAGAACCGATAATAATAATAATAAAAAAAAAGAATCCCACCATTGATTAAGAAATACCTCAACACCTGACTCAGAAGCAAATTTGCCATTATTTACAGTATAGGATGTGTTTGCTAAGAAAAGGGAAACCACTTCTTACTAAATACTTAGCACAATCCATATTTGTCAATAGGAAATTAAGAACAGGGCAATTTTGCTTGGAAAGTCCCATGGGTTTTTGCACCATGACGAATAACAAAATTTGGTGTGGTGGAACATAAAATAGTCAGTTTTTAAACCAAGATTTTCCCGTATTAAGAGACCAAAAGATTTTTCAAAAATCTTCTGTGTCATACTTAGATGATTTACTGACCATTGCAATATGACTGTCCATGCCAACTGCAAATCATTCTAATATATTTGCAAATCACAACTGCAAATCATTCCCAGCTGTAGCCCCCAAGTCATTCTCATCATCCATGGCCCCCAAATGGGTCGATCATGGCTTTTTAACTGACCATCTTTAGTCAATCATTGCTTTGCCATGCTAGTCAACACCTGTGTTACAAGCCAATCAGTGCACTTTCTCTCTCTGCTTTAAATCGGTCACCCAATTTACATCTGCTTCTACCCAGAGCTTTGTGTGTGTGTGTGTGTGTGTGTGTGTGTGTGAAACAAACAGAAAAGACCCTCAATTTACCTGGCACTGTTCTATCAAGCTCTATTAATTGCATTAATTAATTAATCTATTAATTGCAGTACCTCAACAAACCAGAGTCTGGCAAGTCAGAAAACTTGTGTTTTGGATTTCTCTCTAAGCATGAAGTGCATGAAGTGGAGCTGTTTGAAGGAAAATAGTACAAGTTCCAGATGTCCCCAATCAAGTGCCCTTTTCATAAACCGCAGAAATGCAGTTGTCTGCAATAGATGAGGCATGTTCTATAATTCCCTGAGGTTCTTTGTCATAAAATGTTATTAAATAAAGCATTTATTACTTCTAGGATTAATAAGTACTTAAGAAAATAGTGGGGGAAATAATGCATTTATTTCGTTTTAGATACCAGGAGAAAACATTATCCCTGATGGGAAAACAGTCATCTGGGATAACACAAAAGGCTTCATAATTCCAAAAGCAACTTATACATTCATAGGGCTTCTTAGCTGTGAAACTACTATTGATGGTCATGAATATAGCACCAAATACCTGACATATAGGATAAGTGAGTACTTTTCTATACATCTCAGTTTTTCTGTCTACCTGTTTAACTAAGCAATCATCCAGTTCATTTTGCTTTTTTTTTTTGTCTTTCATAGACAATGAAATCATTAGTGTCCAAGTGAATGATTCAAAACCAGTGAAGTTATTCAAAGGACAAAGTCTTGTTCTCAACTGTAGTATCACCGCAGCATGGAACACCAGAGTGCAAATCACATGGACTTATCCTGGCGAGGTGTGTACTTTTTCCTTTTTCAAATACTAATGAGCAGCCTTAATAAAAATGTTAACATTTGTTGTCATTCTGCTGAATTTTGTAGTATGATTTGTTTTATTTTCCATGTTGTGTTGGAAAACATACTTTTCATGTTGCATCATTGAATGAGCAAGACTACGCAATATATACATAAATTCATTGTGAATATTTCATAATAACATTTATTTTTAAAACTTTTAAACTTGGAAATTTCTTAGGTGTCGTGATTAGTAATACTTATTACACAATGTCAAAGGGTTTTATCTCATAATAGACTTCCTCAAAGTAGGCTTCCAACTCAGTTTCAGAAAGAAACTAGTTAATTTATTCAAAATTTCAGTTGGACTCTGAGCAAATCACTTCATCAAAGATAAAATATGGTTGCTGAGCTTATCTTCACCACATTTTTAGCATATTCAGCCATGTACAAATATCTCCCTGATTTCCAAGAAAAACTTATCAATTTGCCATTGGATCTTAATAAGGTTAATGTATGGGAAAATTCAAACCTACTTGAGTTTTGTCCTAGTCAACCAATATTTAAGAGTATATTATAAAAGGTCTACTAATCATTTCGCTTTTCTGATAGAACTTCCACTTTCCATTTGCATACATACTGTATACAGTATTACTGGCAGATCTCTTGTTTTTCTTGGTTCTACACACTTGATTCTACACATTGAGTGAACCACATAAGTCTTAATGCAGATCACAATCCAAAATAATTTGCCTGATTACATGTTGAAGGATGTTTAATAATTTTTAGCATAGAAATTTGTCTCATAGGATTATGTATAATTATATAATACAATGTGCTATATATATATAATATGCATTTCTATAGTCATAGAAAAACTTGGTCTGTGATCCCTGTAAAATAATTCTAAAATAGCAGGTTCTAAATGATCTTCAGTTCTTACTTTCCAATACAGTGTTTTTATGACTATATATCTAAAAACTGCATTTAAAAAAGCATGAAGTCTAATCTGGAGTTGCACGGTAAATTGTGACCACTATATAAATTCCAAATAGCAATTGTTGATGGTAATAAGACCTGTGTTACTTTTTTTTCTCCTATCTAGGCAAGCAAAAGAGCCACCATTAGTAGAAGCATTCAACAAAGAAAAGATGAGCCCAACCTATTCTATAGCATCCTTGTTGTCGATAAAGTCCATGGTATAGATAAAGGCCAATACATCTGCAATGTTAAGAGCGGGCCGTCACTCAAATCAGATAGCGTAACAGTTTTTATTTATGGTAAGATATAATTTGTGTATGTTAATGTCAGACATTTATACTCCAAATGTCAAGGTTCTGACTGACAAACCCAACCAAAGCAAGCACGGCTGAAACAATCCAATCTCTGTATGCAAAACTTTATTGAGAATACCACTTTGGCAAATTTGAAGGCAAAACCAGATCTAGAGCTTTCCTGCGCTAACCCCTATAGTTAAGGTTCAAATTCCACCACCCTCTCCCATTAGCTCAGGTCACATTGTCCAATACAGCCTCTGGATATTGTTGTGGGGAAATCTTTTTTGGCTTCTGTAAACACCTGCCGAAAAGTCCTTTTTCTCACACCAACATCTTGATGCCTGGGTCATTTTCTATCTCCCTCCCCCCATAGTTTATTGGCAAGCTGAGATGCGATAATAGTTGCAACAACAAAAGTCTTTTGAAGCTTGACACCAAAGCCAAGATTGCAGTCTAGAAGTTAGATGAGACCATCGTTACGATTTTGTGCTTTTTACAAGGGTTTGTCCATGTGCCACTAAGTTGTGCTATTTATCACACTGATTCACAGTTGTGGAATAGGTTTGACTAAACATTGACTAAATAAATAAGGGAATTTCCAGAACAATTTTTCTATGTACAGGTAGTCCTTGACTTACAACAGTTCATTTAGTGACTGTTCAAAGTTACAATGGCATTTAAAAAATGAGTTATGACCTTTGAAGCATCCCCACATGATCATGTGGTCAAAATTCAGATGATGGCTGGTGTGTCTCAAGATCATGTGATAAGCTTTTGCATCCTTCTGACAAGCAAAGTCAATGGGGAAGCCAGTTTCACTTAGCAACTGGGTTACTAACTGATCAACTGCCGTGATTCCCTTAAAAGCTGAGGCAAGAAATGTCATAAAATGAGGCAAAATTTACTTAACGACATAAATTTTGAGCTCGGTTGTGGTTGTAAGTCAAGAACTACCTGTGGTGAGTTTCTTTGTCATGGCATCAGTATTTTAAATGAAGCTTTAATTTTAACTCCACAAAAGGATGACTTTCTTATGTTCTCATTAGAACCAGTATGTTCATGCTACTTATTAATGTATCTTATGGTTTGCATTGTTTTTATGTTGAAAGTAATATTTGAACTCAGGGGAGTTCTGATTTTATTGGATGACTAGTGAGATCAACTTTGAGGGCTTTGAGGGGTTATGTTGTTCTTTACATGCAAAAATATTCCTACTGATATTGACAGTCCTTCATATAGTCTTTTGTGTGCAAATCATATTGCTTATGTCATGCTTGAAGTATTCATCCATATTGATATCTTTCAAACATGATTTTCCCCCTCTTTTTTTCTTGTCTTTAAAGATAAAGCATTTATCACTTTGCAACATCGACAAAAAAACATGCTGGATGTTATGTCTGGCAAGAAGTCCTATCGACTTTCTATGAAAGTGAAAGCATTTCCTACACCAGAGGTTGTATGGTATGATTACAGTTACTTCTACCTAGAGAAAGAAGCCATTTATTTGACAAGATAACCTATTTTCCCACCTCTAAGTAAAAAATGATATTAAATAAAGATGTCCTGAAATAGACTTGAAATATTTGCTTTAATTTTCACTATTTAAGAATCTGTGAGATGACTGTGTTCATTTTATTGTGATTAATGTCTTGCAGTAAAAGAAATTTGGCATATTTGATCCGAAAGCATACTGCAGTATTCTGCCACATATTTAATATTTGAGGAATAAATATTACACATTAATTTTAATAGATCCATTTTCAAATTGGATTGATAGTTTTATCTTGTATTTAAACTCTTCATGAAAATAAAAATGTTGTTAGAAGATTTTGAAGAAGAAAAATACTGCCAAGAACAGTGCCTATATTTTTTTCAGAGAGTTACTTGTGCATTAGACAGGAGTGCACAATTTTTATTGGGTCAAAAACTACACTAATGTTTGAATTGTGATTGGAAGTCACATTGCATAAAAGTTTGGAACTATGTAAAATATTTTTAAATATGTGTGTAGCAGACAGAATATGGAGAAAGAATGAAAAATAAATATTAATAATTTTTTAAAGTACTAGTAATTAAAATGTTCATTTCCTACACATACAATACTCACAAAAAAAACTTTCATATGTAAGAAATGGGATAGCTGTAGTATGTGGGTTTGTTGTTGAAATACAACAGACTGAGGAAAAATGAAGAGAACATGCTTGATTCCTTTATGGGTTACATTGCAAGACCAAAGTCACAGGGTGTATATCTATTGATTCAAATAAAAATGATATATTCTGGGACAATATGTAACTTTCAAGACATCCACATTTAATAACTGTTATGAGGCTAAATTGGGGAGGTTCAAAGGATGGAGCTTTAATAAAGAGGAAACCAAATCAAAGCAAACACTTAAAAAGTTTTACTTCCAGTTTCTACTGCTGGTCATCAAATAACCCTACAAAGACCACGAGGAGGATATACACGGGCACTCAATCGGCTGTTATTGTTTCAAGCAACTGACAGTCAATACAATGGTTCTGCAGATAGTCAGAGCCAATTTTACCATTATATAAAATAAAGCAGCTAGCACGGGTGGCAAGTTGAGAATATAGTAGAAGTGTAGCAAATGACCAGAGTTCGGAAGACGATTTTCTGTTATATGTATGAAGATAACTTGGCTTTGAATAGTATATACTTGGTTGAGTGGAAGGCATAGTTTCTGCTTTGCCTCAAACAGGAAAACAACTTGTACTTCATTATGTTTTATCATAAGGCTTAAAAGTCCTTGTTAACTTTATCTTCCATGGATCTGTCAACTCCTCTTTTAATAGGACTTCTTATTTTCCTCCCTCACAATTCAACAGACGTATGAACACTCATAAATGTAATACAGAAATGAATTCTAAGTTTCATTTTGATATTTTCTTTCTTCATAATAAAGTGTGAATATTTTAAAGGGTATGCGCTGTCCAGTGAGAAAGGAAGTTCTTTTAACTGTGGCCTAGTTCTGAGATGCTTATTAAGTTATATAAATTATATTTGCAGTAATTGAAATTACAAATTCTTGTGGTTTTTGGTTCAGATCCATTCATTAGCAAGATAAAAAGGGTGTTACTCCCTTGTGATACAATAGGAACTTCCTGCCTTTTCCCTGTCAGTGAGAAAATTGGCGCATGTGACTCTCTCTGTGTGTAGTGAGTTCCCCTATAGGGATGCGGTGGCTCAGTGGCTAAGACACTGAGCTTGTCGATCAGAAAGGTCGGCAGTTTGGCGGTTCGAATCCTTAGTGCCCCGTAACGGAGCGAGCTCCCATTACTTGTCCCAGCTTCTGCCAACCTAGTTCAAAAGCATGTCAAATGCAAGTAAAAAAAATAGGGATCACTTTGGTGGGAAGGTAACAGTATTCCATGCACCTCTGGTGTTTATTCATGCTGGCCACATGACCACAGAGATGTCTTTGGACAGCGCTGGCTCTTTGGCTTTGTAATGGAGATGAGCACCACCCCCTAGAGCCAAAAACGACTAGCACGTATGTGCAAGGGGAACCTTTACCTTTACCTAGTGAGGTCCCCATACTTATTTTAAGCTTCATAGTACATATTTAGGTTCACATTTAGAAGTGCCCACATTTTCCAGGTGGGTGTAATATAGTCCTTTATCAACTTGCAGTTTTGGATTAGTGATAACAGGATAATAGTAGCCACATGAAATTAACAAATTGGGAAACGTTCAGCAATAGTTCTGCTATGGTCTGTTTGTTGATTTTTTTTCTTCTTGGCAAGGGTGTGCCAATGAAGGTAATTGTCTAGGCATGCAGACAATTAAAGTACTGAACATGACAATAATTCATTCAGAACAATAAAAATATTCAATTAAAATGCAAACAGAACAATTATAACAATGTTTCTTGTCTGACTTCTGGAAAGCAAAATTACATTGACCTATAGACGGCATGAGAAAAAGTATAAATGCAATCTCAGATGAATATTCTGCCCGTGGACATTTACAGTCTCAAAAAGGTTCTGAATCAGGCTTCCATGTTTTGCCTTTCTTTGTCTTTTCATTGAGGTCACAAACCTTCTGATTTTATTGCACTGTATGACTCCAGCTGCCTACGCTTTTACTTGCTTCCTGCTCAGTTGATCAGCAATTGCTCTGAATCATTGTTAAAATAATCAGTTACTGTACTTAAAGGGCCCCTAATCGTAAGGCGGTGAGGAATGAATATGTCAGTGCACAGCGGGAGACAGGAAGGCAAATTTGCCTATGTTGTTCTTCAGTCTCTAAGTCATGTCTGATTCTTCGTGACCCCATGGACCTCATGGGCCATGGAAATGCTGATCCCTCCTGTCTTCCACTTGCCCAAATTCAAGTCCATTGCTTCGATGAACTACCCGAAATCAAAATATCAAACACTTGCACACTCACTGACACACACCTGTAAAATATCAAGTTCTTATTTTAGATTTTTTTTAAAAAAATAAAAGTTTTGTTTTTGTGTTTTGTACTCAAGATCTCTCAATATATTATGTGACAATTACTTAAAGCCATAGTATTTGCATATAAGGGAATTTCCCCAATTTATTAATCTATATATTATTTCAATGAAGACTTCATTCACATCTTTTTCTCTAGTAGGGCTATCACATGATCCTAGCACTTGGTGAAAAAATACTAGAACTATGGGGTTCAGAAATTGCAAAACATCCTGGAAGTAGAAAAAAGCCAATAATTAATATGTTGTTATTATTTGAACAACATGTTGCCATCCATGAGGTTACCAGAAATTAAGTTTGTCTCAAACATTTTAGAAACTAAGGGTCTATTGGTTAATGATCTAATAGAAAGTTTGTGTGTACTTCTAAGGTCATAAACCTTAGAAGTACACACAAATATGTACGCATATAGATAGATTCATGAGGACAAGACAATATTTTTCTAAATCGTGTTTGCTTAGAGTATCAAGGCAGTTAAGTCATGTTGTTGGCTTTACTGTTGAAGTATTATTAGAGGTTAATATCTTGGGCAGATGTGCTCTAAAAAAGTGGCATAGAGAGGAAGAATTACTCCCACCCCATCCCTACTCCATCACAGTAAGATGTCTTATAATTTGGCCCAAACAGGGAAATGCTTGTTTTCTGCAAACCCATTGTTTTTCTACACTTTTCATACAACTTCTATACTTCTAATTGACCTGAGATTTTCTTGGGTCATGAACATATTATTTAAGGAGTGTTTTTGTATTACTTGCCTGTGAAACAATGGTATCAATTTTGATCTCAATTTTGCTTTTGTTTTCATTCAAATCATTCTAAATGGCAGGAGCTATTCCTGAATTCATTAGCGTTTCACAAAAGCATTGCTACAAGACTGATTAGGAAAACAGTTCCCTACATGCATGTGTGGCATTAGTTCACCATACTTGCAGCCAAATTTAATGTGTGCTCTAAAGCTTGAGTTTTGAAACAATCGCATTTCTAAAGAAAAAATAGAAGCTGGGAAAGAGTTGGATGCAGGCCCACTACTTGGGAATGCTATTTGGCCTCACTTGTCAATGGATTTAAAGGAGGCAGCTATTATGAGAAGTACATTTGCTCAATCACAGTTAGTGGTTTGCTGTGCCTTTTCCTGGACTAATTCAACCTGGTAATTGCCTCTTACCTTCTCGACTACCACAATCTATTCTTCCAAAAACCAGTCTGGAAAAAAAATTCTTGCAAGTTGCTGTTGATGGGAAAATGTAGCCACTAGGCTGATAACTGATATAGTATTGGAAGATGTAAGGATCATATGATTCTTCTACTGAAAGACCAGCCAATTGTTTATCAGATACAGTTTAATGACTTAAAGTGTGACTATTTCACTGTCACCAGCCTGGTCAAATTTTAAAATACCAGGAAAAGTTATGTGTCCCTAGCAGTTGGAAAATATCTACCCCCTATGGAATCTCTGCTTTTAGAGGATGCATTTCACCCCAGTTAGACTTCTGATAGCAACCAAGCCTCAGGTCTTTGACCATAATTTCCTGATCAAATGTCAACTGACATGGTCAATTGTCAATTTTTTTGTGTACTATTATTTTTTAGTTTTCTCTCCTCTCTTTTTATGTCAGTTTTATTAGCTGATCGAATAGATTGAATGGAAGTACCACAAAATAAATAATCAATAAAATAATGTTTATTAAATTAAAATAACAAGCAGACATTAGCACAGGTATATTAAACATTATTATTAATTAATCTTTTATAACATCTAAAATTAAATCATATATTTTTTTAAAAAAAATAATGTTGGAAATTTTGGCAAATCAGCAATTATTAGCATTTTACAATTGTGTGCTTCATTGTGCATATACTTGTGATATTAGATCCCCAAATCTCACACTTGGCTATATCCTACTTATCCTCTATGGCTGGTTTGCAAAGGGAGGGGGCAACAACCTGTTTTTGTTTTTATTAAAGCATACCATTTCTTTCTTTAAGTCAGCCTCTGAGAACCATACCAGTAGTTATAGTAATTGAATGATACCAGAGGACAATGAAACTCTCTTTTTCAGAGTGATCTGTCATGGGGTTTAGCCACTTAGACTGACTTTCAAAAGAATCAATTATTGATTCTGGGTGATCATTTAGTCCAAACAACTACATCCAATATAATAAAGCTTCATGATCATTGAGAAATTGTAAAGACATAACACAAAATCATTTAAATGTCATGCTGATTTTAAAAATGATGTTTCAAATACTTGGGATATTTTTTTTCAGTTTCAAATTATTGCTAGTAAAATTATTAGCTTTGTAGATTTAAGATAGTATTAAAACAGTTCAAATGTTCTGATGTTCCCTAAAATTTTTAAGTTTGGAATGTCTTTTTGTAAAGAACTAAAACAGGAGGAATTCCACACACTCCAGGAGACTTGTGGTTGTAGTGAACTCCTTTTTGTAGTGAACTCCTGTCACTTTTTTCTGTATCCATGTATTCCCTAATAATATTTAATAAAAGGAATGTCCAACATATCATTTCATGAACACTTCAAACACTACACATTTCTTTTAACAATTAATATTTGAGTAGGAATGAAATGGCTAAAATGAAGATCATTAGCAACTACACATTCTTCATATAATATTTATTTTATTTATTTGATTTGTCAATTGCTCACAAAATAATAGGTATAAGTATAAACATGAGTAAGAATACAGAAATATGTAATTCAATCCACATGGATTTTGAATAAATCCACTAAATTGACCAGTAATTAGCTTTTTAAACATTTATAAAGTTTTGTAATATAATTTGTTCCTCCAACCCTCAATGTCTCACATCTGAGTTACACACCAGGCCTGAGTCTGGTCCTAGACATTATTCAAAGCCTGTCATGAAAGGTTATCATTTTTCATGGATGTAAATGGGAAATTAGTAAAAACACAATTGAAGAATAATCATATTAACCACATTAATGTAATTTAAATGATATCAATTTCAGTTTTTATACTTGCTGTTCCCATTTCTTCATATTGGTCTTAACTACAAAGTGTGCCTCTAGCATGCTACTAAAAGAATAAGCATGGTCCTTGATCCATAAAAATGTGCTCTGCTTGTTTTCTATGAAATGTTTACATATTACATAAGTAACATATGTAGTGACATCATAAGCAATTATGGATTTGATTGTCTTTTCACAGGTTGAAGGATGGGTTACCTGCTGCTGAAATGTGTGCCAGATATAAAATTAAACGTTTCTCACTCATTATAAAACATGTTGCTGAAGAAGATGCAGGAAACTACACTATAATGTTGAGCACCCGGAAGTGGAACCTACAAAAAAATTCAACAATAACACTCAGAATAAATGGTGAGTCCATATTACTATCAATGACAGTAAGCTGAAATCCTGTACACACTTAATTGAAAATTAAGTTATCTTGAATTCTGACTAAACATAAATATTCTAAAAAAGTTTTCATTACCAGAGATCACATTGTTATGCTAAAATCATTCTGATAAGGGTATTAGTGTCTTTAAAAAATGGCATTTCTATGCTCAACTTTTGTGTCACCAGCTGATTAGCTTATGTCCTATGCGTCCATGCAAATGGGTTGTTTGAGCCAAGCAGCTCTGCCTGCAGCCAACGCCCACTTTTCATCTTCCCTCTTCATCTCATTTCATTGGCGTCTTACAAAAAGAAGGGGGTGGGGGGAATAACCTAGTCACTGTCAGATGAGAAGTGTAATTTTTTGTTTACTGGAGAAAGATAGGGCAGAAGGACCCCACCACTTGGATCCTGGAGAGAAGGAGGAAATTCTAGAGGGAAGTAGTTAAGACAGGTTGGAAGTCCCTACAACTGTAGCTCCAGAACAAGCATTGCAAAACTGAGAACAAACTGATTCTGATTTTCCAAGGCCGTTGGAAGCTGCATTGTGGAGACACATATACGCAGCAATGATGTCAACACACTGTGTGTGGAAGAGGCCAAAGTCTTGGTTTCTCTTTTGAAATCGTAATTCTTTCCATTTTATTTTAGAATAAGATTTCAGTTTACTCCTGTTCTTGTTTGTTAACAGTGAAACCTCAGATTTATGAAAAAGTGTCATCAATTCCTGGTCCTACTCTCTATCAACTAGGAACTAAGCAAATTTTAACATGCATTGTTTATGGTATTCCTCAACCTGTGATAAAGTGGACCTGGCAACCATGTCAACAGAACCATTCCAGAACAAGGTAGATCATTTTTGAACCTCATTTCCAATACTCTATCATTGCCCTTCTATGTTTTCATTAAAAGTCTTCTCCATGCAATTGTCAACTCAACTTAAGGTATTTATGATGTCCTAATATTAAAAAATGTTTTAAATTAATTATGTTGTTATCATGAGTCATAGAGGAAGAGGTGGGATGCCTTGATGATGCAAAAGCTGGTTTTACTGTGGAGTTTTTGGTGCTTCTCTGAGCCTGGTTGTTTGCTTGCTGATATTTTGTTACCCATTAGATAAACTTTATCAGCGTCACTGGTTTTGTTCCTCAGGCAGGTTATCTAAAGACATGGTTGGGATGCAAAGAAATTAAACAAGCTCTGCTTTTTACCCTAAAATTGCAGCATGCCTATACAATGCTTATAAATATGTTGCTTAATGATCGGTTTGAATATCTTATCGTACATACATGTCAGAGTGACAGAACTGTAATTTGAAAAACTTTTGAAGTTCATCACTATCTGAAGTTCAGTATGCAAGCTTTATTCTTCTTTCAGATAGCTTATATTCAATATTATATTATCACTTTCCCTCACGATGCCATCTTTAATACTTCATCTGATTCTTGCCTGTTGATAGGGATTATGTACAGGATAGGAGACTCCATGTAATTTCTTTCTCCTTTTGACAAATGGAGTTGTCAGGAAGAGAGGACAATAATATTTTGGATCTCTGAGTCTTGGCAGAGTTAGATTCCCAAAAGACATAGGGATAATTTAAATCCTTTGTTGCATGCCTTTTCAAAAGATTGTTCTATCCATCTGTCTTTCTATTATCTACCTATCTATCTTTTCTCTTGGATTTGTTCCACACAAATAAATTATAGCCTTTTAGTGTTATGGACCAGACATGAGTATCATTGTGAATCAGACCATTCTCCCTTAAATATAATATTGATTGGCAGTTAAAAGCAGTGTTCCTTACCGTGCTCAAATATTGAACTCAGAATCTTTTCATGAAAAGAGTTGTGCTCTCAGAGCTATGGTTATTCTCTTCTTCCTTTCTATTGGTATGATTAGAGGAAAAAGAATTAGCTTGAAAAGCCACAAACATTCGCTCACCCACTATGATTAAAACATACCACTTTATTTCCTATTAACCACATTAATGTTAATTTCTATAAACAACAGAAGTTTAAAAGGGAAGGGCCATGCGATAGGTAGAAGTAATGAATTCCATGGTCCAGATTTCAGCAGAAAAACATTAATGAAGGAGAATTGAGCAATGACAGACGTATGGGTGGAAACATGTGGTTGCATTGTGGAAGTGAAGAAATTTGGTTATGCAAGAGACTGAAAAAAGTCCAACCCAACTAATTCTTTGAAATTTGCTCTGCAGTTGAAGAATTTATAAGACCGTGTGCGGTCTCTGAGACAATAAGATCTCTATATTCAAACACTCATACTCTTCTGAGTGGGATAAGACATTCTTTGACTGGGTTTTATTTTAAAGTAGCGCAACAATGCTTTAAATCAGGGGTGTCCAACCTTGGCAACTTTAAGACTTGTGGACTTCAACTCCCAGAATTCCTCAGCCAGCTTTGCTGGCTGAGGAATTCTGGGAGTT